CACCTTGGAGTGGCCAGGCAGGGAGAGGTTTAATCCTCTGAGGCTTGAGTCTCCTCTGAAAAAGCCTGTCACTGCAAGTCTATTTAGGGACTTGGTTCTCAGGAAGCATTTTCAGAGTTCACACTACACATAGTCAGGGTCCGGGTGTTCTGAGTTAGGGCAAAGCAAGCAGCTAGCTCAGAGGAACCAGCTCGGTCCTCTTTGGTTCATTACGATAATTCTCGGGTTTACATCTGTGGGCGCACGCGTGCACTCAGCAGACTGTGCTGGGAGATCAGGTAAATCAGTAGCACGCGGGCCAAATAAATTCTTGTTCTCCTAGACTTTGGACCCTTTAGAGCAGCATCATTGGGAGGGAGAATATGAAGCAAAACTCAGACTGCTTGATTCTGGGTGATTTTTCCACAGAATGACTCCAGGGCACAGGGACAGGGGAAAGGTATCAGAGGACATCTTTTCATGGTTTGACATCTCTCATTTTGTAGAAATGAGATTATCAATAATCACCCCCCCAAAATTGCAATGTTTAATACATGCAGTAATAACGTGCTGTTACTGACAACTGCCATCTACAGACCAGACAGGATTCCCCTAACCATGTGAAACTGTGTGTGTGTGTGTGTGTGTGTGTGTGTGTGTGTGTGTGTTTGTCTGTCTATTTTTTTTTCTTGTCGACTGTACTCAGACCTACCCTCTTATTTCTGCTGCTATGTGAAGGCCACGATAAAGAGGACATTTGTTAAAAACGAGGAGCAAAAACACTTCCTTTTTGTTTGTTTAATTTTTGTTAGCTGGGAAGTAGTATTTATATGAACAATGTAAGTTCAGCATGGGAGGACGATTTCTGTTTTAAATTGTTTCAGAATCTTATCCATACTTGTGTCTCAGGCACCAACTTCAGATTATTTAAAAACAAATTTTAATATTCCCCAGATATGATTAGCTCTATGACAATAAGTACACATTCCAACCTAAAGTGGGCAAAACTAACATTTGTTTATTTGATATTTAAGAGGAAACCCAACTCCAGGTTATATTGTAATTGAGGTAATAAATGCATTCCTCTTTCTTTTATCTAATAGGTTTCTGTAAAATCCAATTCTATATTAATTTTGTAGAATCTTTAAAATATATAAGATACATGCACATGTGAATAAGAGATGAATATGTATGTACTTCTATACACAGACAAACATTTATATGCAATCACTTATATCTACACACAGAGTGAACAGGATTAGAAATATTACATCAGAGGAAAGAGTTCTCTTTACTAAGTATTAGCAATGACAACATTTATGTTTTATTTCTTTCAGGCAAAGTAATACAGTAATCAATTTATATTGCAGTGTTCTGCAAGCAACAAAAAGAAATAAAATAGGAAAATATTTGGAGACCTCATACTTCCCAAAACTTTGCCACAAGTCATAATGACAAAGGTAATAAATGTTTAGGAAGCAGAGGTGACATGAAAAGCACTGTAAAGGGTGAGAGGCATGGATGCCCAGGACATCCTGCAATCCGGGTATCAGGTCACTGTCAGAGAAAAATGCAGCCGCCCACTTCACCTCTGGTTTCAGATGAGGACACAACTGTGTTGCCAAGTTTCTTTTTTCTTTTCTTTTCCTTCTTTCTTTCTTTCTTTCTTTCTTTCTTTCTTTCTTTCTTTCTTTCTTTCTTTCTTTCTTCTTCTTCTTCTTCTTCTTCTTCTTCCTTCTTCTTCTTCTTCTTCTTCTTCTTCTTCTTCTTCTTCTTCTTCTTCTTCTTCTTCTTCTTCTTCTTCTTCTTCTTCTTCTTCTTCTTCTTCTTCTTCTTC